AGAGAGAGACAAAAATAACATTATATAATAAAAATTTAATAAATTATAATTAAGAGATAAATAATTTGAAAAAAAAAACCACTAAAAATTTTACTTCCCACAATATCGGATGCAATCCTCGAGCCAGCCATATACCGTTTTACTGCAGTCGTTACCCCCTTTTTCCCAACATTCGTCTTCCATACAACGCGCCACCTTATTCCCCACATATTACCATCCTCGAGACAATTCTTCGTTCGGTGAACACGCATAAGTTATGCCCTCGCGCCATCGTTCGCCTTGCCGCTCTCCTTCGCCCTCCGTCGTTCCCTTCTCGTCTCCCACCTCTTCCACCTACCTATCTACCTACACCACGATTTCTCGTCCCTTCGTTCCGGTTCTCGACCCCGAGTTCCCGACGAAATGGGCCGCTCCGCTCGCGGAACGCAATTAAAAGTTTCTCACACGGGCGGTCACGCCGCGCCGCGACGACAGAATCGATCCTTCGCTTAGAAGCCAGATTCCCGCTCTTGTCGTCTCTCTGCGGTTCTTCCTTCCCGTTCCCAGCGAAATCGATTCGCGGTTGCCGATTGTCCTCGGTTACCCCATTTCGCCTTAACTAAACGACGGTTCTTGCAACTCCCTGTGCTTTAAATATGAAACGCGTTTATATAATTTTATATATTATAGATTCTCTCGTGTATAAAAAATATACGACTCACTTTCTTATCGATATCTTATTGAATAGTTGATTTCTCTCGTCCTTCGTCGTGTTATTTTTTGTACAAAGTATTTAATTTAAATTTTTATCGAGGACTCGATTAAGTTTTGACTTATTAAATATGTATAAAGATAAATAGCGTCGAGAAATGTTGATGATACAGTATACCTTGTTTCGACTTGACGTAGGCAATTGTCCGGCTCTCATTTCGATGTATTCTCTAAACAGGAGAGAAAGAGAGGATATATTTTATTATATCCGCCTCTAATCGCGAGAGTCTTATCGCACATCGATTTCGGACTCGTCGAATCGCGAACAAAGGTCTGCCTTACGAACCGAAGCAGGACCGGCAGGAGGGGGAGGGAGAGTGGCGGGCCCCCGTGAGAGACCGGCGGCAGGTCCCCTGTTCATACCTGTTTGTACCTTTGTGTGTATTGTATGTGTGTGTATATATATATATATATACATACCGACCAACCTACACCCGATACCGCACGTATAGACCTGTTCGACCCGCTGCATTCAGAGGGTCCTCTCTCTCTCTCTCTCTCTCTCTCTCACTTGCACTAATAATTCCCGGCGGTCGGCGGCCCGGGCGCATTCTGCGAGCATTACGTGTCTGCATTCCACGTGCAGGCCCTCGATCTCCCTTTTTCACCGCGGCGGCCGTGGGGGCCCCGGGGATCGTTAAGGTAGCACCTTAACGGCCTTTTTACGAAAAGGCGCCCGACGAGGTGTTCCCCCGCGCGCATCCCCTTGAATGTCCCTCATTATTATTCATCCCGCGGCGCCCCGTGCGCCCGTATATATATATACGAGAACGTTTAACTTATTCCGTCCCGGCCGACGGATATTCTCTCTCTATTTTTTTTTCCCTCAGTCTCTGTATCGAGAGAATAGTTCGACAAAAGTCACGTTACATCCCTGCACCGCCTCCCCAAGTTCCGGATTAGCATGGGAATTCTGAGACGAAAGGCGGGAGTGGCTAAAGTAAAAAGGATTAGCGAGACGAACCTGACGGACCTGGTAATCTCTCCGTTGAATCTACAAAGGATTTTGTTGCTTTTTCCTGTAAATCGTGTAAATTGTCATGAATGGAAAAAGAATTTCTCGAACATGGAGCGTGGTTAGTGAGAAAAGAAAGATGTCTTGTTATTGGCGAATCTCTCCTAATGCCAGTGATCTTTTCTCGAGTAATAAGCGAGACATATCTTACTATATTTGTCGCGGCTGTAGCGAAGGTTGTTGAATTATTCACAGGAACAAAAATGTTGAAATTTTTGCATAAACATTTGACTGCATCTGATATAGGAGTCCGCTAAAATTAGAACTCTGTCGAAATTTCAATTCTAGTCAAATCATCTTTTTTTCTTTCTTTCCCTCTCTCTCTCTTCAGACTTTAATAGAGCTATTTAAAAAGAACTTTATTTTAAAATCGGATTTTATTACATGCGGCGTTCGTTCTTTATATAGATGTAGATGCAGTAGAAAGGTTTCTATTTCATTTATTGATGCAAAAGAGGAACATATTAATGGAATAAGATATGATTTTATGTGCTATCGGATTTTCTTTTTCCTTTCTAGAAAAATAAAACTTTTGTAGCAATATCTCTTTTCTCAAGTGACTCGTTCAAATAGTATATGTAGATTATTCTCGAGTATCGCGCCGAATTCCTTCTAAAATCCTCTACACGCGATCCGTGTATCTTGAGTGACGAAGACGAGTGAGTGTCCGTCCTTACGTTAGGATCGTCGTTTCGCGGATCCATCGCAAGTCTACGCGAAGAAACATCCTTTATCCCAGGGTGGCGCCTGAGATCCTTACAACCTCGCTCGAGCGCTTCCATAATTGGGCGAACACGAAAAAGGAGGCATTGTCGTCTCGCTTTCTTCTCTCTCTCACGGCCCCCTTCTCAAGCGGAATTAATCTTTCGTCTTGTTATATTCGTCTTGTTGTATCCTCTTTTTCCCACACCCACATTTTGCGACGCAGAGACATTCGTTTCAGGTCGCGATTAATCCCACTGGAATTTTTTTATTTTCGAGAACGCTTAATCCGAGGATTATCGATACTTATGTGGATCTACATCCTTACACCGAATTATCAAGTAATGAAAATATTATGGGGAATACGTGCAATGGGATAGGTATCGCACATAAATGGAAAATTTATTAATATTTTGTTATAATTTATTTTTAATAATTTTTATTTATAATTTTGTGACATAATAATTTTGAGCTTTTCTAATATTTCGATTCATTTATGTTTGAAGATACTTAACGACGATAAGTTTTTTTACGTTGCAAATTGCATGAATTTCGATTTAGCTGGCACATATGGTTGCCCAGGTTTGACCCAGATCCGTGATGGACAGATTACCGTATAATTTAGGCAAACGTATTTACGTGTTATCGGATTCAATCGCTTAATTCGAACTCGCGAATATGTTAGGGCTGTCTGAGTATTTGCGATATATTGCATGTCATTTCGGATAATTCCGCTCTAATGAAATCTGATAATAGGTTAAATTCATCAATCTCGGAATAATTGCTTTCTAAGCAATAATTTAGCAAGTTTCAACTTTATTTAAATTTTATCTTGCTTTTATTTTGTTATCTCTGTATTCTCCTGTACGATAGTATCGATATGACGCAATTTGCTTGAATAATCAATACGATATATAATTGACTTGGATCGGATTGTTAAAAAGTAATTTTTTATTAAGAAGAAGAATATTATGTTTTTCAATATATCTATATCACATACACACATCATACACTAATATAATACAAAATATAATTGATATAATAAAGAAAGAGAAAAGCAAAAATAATCTTAATAAAAATTTGATAAATTATAGTATATTTTTATATACACGTATATTATAAATAAAAACAATTTTAAAAACTACTAAAAATTTTATTTTATGAAAGAGCTACATTATATATCGTAGGTATTATTAGATCATTGGGAAAAAAAGTCGAGTCGATCCCATGATACATTTCATGTTCGTACGTGCCGGTAATCCGATGTCGGGGACAAAAGACATGTTCTTGGCGATCCCGTCCAGACATTA